CTCGAGACGAGAATGCTCGTCACGTCGTCCGAGAGGCTCTCGCAGTGCGACGCGAGAGCCTCCACGACGCTCTGCCGCACGAGCATGTCCTTGTCGTGCATGAGCTGCGAAACCAGTGCCACGAGCGCTTCGCCGCGGGCCTTGCCGAGGAGATCGACGCCGTCACCGACAGAGCTCGCGGCGGCGCGGCGCACCGACACGCACGGGTCCTTGGCAAGCGTAAAGAGGGCCGGTAGGATCGACGTCGTGACCTTGAGAAAGGCCGCGTCGGCGTCGGCGAGCGCGACGAGCGCTGCGGCAACGGGAAAACCGACCTTGGCGCAATTGACGCGCACCTCCATGTTGACGTCCTTGACGAGGCCGAGAAAGTGGTCGAGCATGACTTCAGCGAGCGCCGGGCCCATCGCACTCACAAGGTCGGGCATCGACGTGACGATTTGGAGACGCACTTGCCAGTCACTGTCCGAGACGAGCGCGTTGACGAGCGGCACGAGCTGGAGCCGCGTCATGTGGAGCGACGCTTCGTCGCCCAGAATGCGCGGCAACGCCGCGCCAATGCCCGCAATGGCCTTGACGCCGTACAACCGGACAAGGTCGGACGGATCGCCGACGGTCTTTTCAAGCATCTGCAACGTCCACGGCATCGTGCGCGGGCCGAGCTGCAGCGCGAGCTCCGGTAGGATGTGAGCCCCGGCGCGGCGGACCAGCGGCGCTTCGTCCTGGAGAAGCCGGTCAAACATGCCGCGCAGCTGGACCGTAAGGTCGCCAGTGACGCGCTCGTACACGATCGGGAGCAGCGCCAGCGTTACAATGCGCGAGCTCGGGCTCGAGTACAAGCTCAAACGGGCCACAAGCGCCGGCATCGTGCGGACAAACACGGGGTTGGGCAGGGCCTTGGCGATCGCGACAAGCGACTCGACGACGACATCTACAAGAGCACTCGTCGAGCATTCGCACGAGCATATTGGCTACCCCAGGTCGTGCTCTTCTCGATCACAGCCGCGGCTTCAAAGACGTTGAGCGCAATGTGCAGCAGCAGCCACTTGGCGTGGCCGACCGGCGTCTCGCTTTCGGCCGCAGCGTCGCCGCAGAGAAGCGCGAGGTGGCGCATGCACGAGAGTGTCTGGAGGACGACAAACTCGCCCTTGTCCGGATGGCTCTCGAGCGAGGCAAAGCCGTTGAGGAGGAACGCTCTCGCAGGGCACGACGCGCCGAGAAGAGGCGATGTCCCCGACGCCCACTCGGCCAATAGCTCGTGGCCAACGTCGTCGACGGCCTTGATGTCGACGTCGTCTGTCGTCGCCGTCCCTTGCTTGCTCAGTTCTTTGTGGAGCATGACGCAGGCCGCGTTCGGAAAGTACTGGAGCACCTAGATGGACATCGTTTTGGAGTGTGAGACCTCGCCGTTTTCCGCCAAGGACGACGGCGAACAGACCTGGAGCAGCTTGCGCTCGAAGCGCTTGAAACTCACGCGGTCCTCCTCGGGCACGAAAATCTCGTGGCGCTCAATGCGCTCGGCGCGGCCCGCGACCGTGTGCGTTTGCGGCACGCGCACGTTCCGCGCGAGCTGCTTCTTCAGCTCGGGCAGCCACGTGCCCGGCGGGCAGCAAAAGCTACGGTCCATGACGCACCGTTCGTCACGCCTTGTGCGCGTACCTCAAAACGAGCGGGCGGGCCAGCGTCTGGATCAGCTGCAGAGTCTCCTTGTGCGTGAGCTGCGTGACGCAGTCGCCGTTGATCGCGACGAGCCAGCTGTCCATGTGCACGTTGGCGCGCGCGGCCGACGTGTTTTCCTTGACGTTGACGACCACCGTGCGCTGTCATATACAGTGTCTCTCCGATCCTGTGGATGGCATATATTGGTCTGTACCTCGTGGATGTTCTCGACCGTGATGCCCATGGGCCCCGTCGGAAATGTCGCGTCGTACATGGGCCAGGTCAAGGGCGGGAGCGCGCCGTCGACGGGAAAGAGGTCGTGGCCGAGGACGCTGTCGAAGTCGGGCAGCGCCGACTGCGGCTGGAAGTAGCGGTCGATCGCGAGCGCCACGTTGCCGTCGCTCCAGAGAAAGTAGAGCAAGAGGCGGTCGCTGCGCTCGTCAGCGTTCGGAATCATCTCGCGCATCGAAGCGAGCGCCGACTCGAGGACTTGGAGCCCATACGTGACGACCACGGCCGGCTTCTCGGGCGTCGTGGCCTTGGGGAAAAGCGAGCTGCCGGGCACGATCTTGGTCGGCGCCCGCTTCTGCGTCTCTTCGCCGTGCTCGGACCGGCGGAAGCGAAGGCGAATGGGCACCGTCACGACCTAATACACGTCAACGCGATTCGGGACGGCGAGACGCACCTCTTTGGAGAGCCGTGTGATGATGCCATGGCAATTGGCCTCCTTGATCGCGTGCTCCGAGCACTCGATGAGCACATCCGACTTTTGGATGTGAGCGCGGTGCGCCGACCCGCCAGGGACGACGTCCTGCACGACGACCCGCCCAAGGACGTTCCCGATCGTCCACTGCATCTTGCCGTCCGTGATTTCAACCTCGTACTCGCCATTCACGAGATGAATCGGCGGGCTCTCCTCGACTGCCGCGACGGGCGCCTTGTTGAAGAAGAGGTTCACTGCGGTCTCGACGTCGCCTTTGGCGTCGGTCAGTAGCGTCGCCATCTCGGCCTCGGTCGCCGCGCCATCGAGAAGGTCCTTCAAGGCAGCAATTGAAGCCGACATCGGCGCTGGCGGCGGTGCATCGGCCGCAGGCGTCGGCGCGGTCACGCCCATATCGTCGTCCGAGTCGCCGCTCGTCGCGTGGCTGGCCTCGTCCACGCCCATGGTCTCGTCGGCCTCATCTACGCTCTGGTCGAGGTAGAGCTGGACGGCCACGTTGACGTCTCCGCCAGCCTCCTTGAGGAGCGCGTTGAGCTTGTCGTCCGAGACGCTGTCTCCCGTCACCTCGCGCAAGGCTGCGAGTCCCGACGACGCCATCTCGTCTGCGGTGGGCTCGAGGGCAAAAACGTGGAATTTTTTGGCGTTTGCGACCCCGGCCGTGCATTATTTTAAATGCGCATACAAACATCCTATCATACAATACGCTCTTCAAGCGAGCTTCCGGCAGCCTCCATTAAGTTCGAATTCGCATTTCTTGCCGCCGGCCCCAGAAGCAGCAGCATCTCTCTGCGCCCCGACGATCTCGGTGCACTGCGGCTTCTAGCTAGACAATATACGAAGGATGCAGCTAAGGACGCCAATTCCAGCTAGTACTGCTTGGTGACGCTAGCAGCCCTTGCCACCATATTGGCTCGGCGCGATACGAATGAGGCAACCACGCCCAGTTCATGTCCTCCTGGCTTCAGTTGTAGCGACGATTACGCAGTGTGCCACGCCCTTCAGCGAGGCGGAGCGGGCAGGGTTTCTAGCTAGATATTGCATCCAATCTCGCGACTTGCTGCGAGGTGGTCTCGTCTCGCACTCTACTTCAAAGCGCGATGGAGCTTCAATTGGCCGTTGTCGGTTTCCGGCTTCGAGACTTAATTGTAGCTACTACGTGAAACGTATTTGGCCTTTCCCGATGAACTTTTCCAAGCTCTTCAAGGCGCCGCCGCCGCCGCCGCTCGAGCCGCCGCCGCCGGACGCCGAGGTATACGCCTTCTCGCTTGCGTCGACGCGTCATGTCCATGTAGCCCGGTCCGTCGCCACTCTTGAAGGAGTATGTGCCCGTGCGCCAGCAGCGCCTGCCCGACGTCATCCTCGAAGAGCAGCCGTTCGGGCGGCGGCGGTCGTCGTCGGTTCTCGACGCGCCGACGATCACGCCCCGCCACGCGTCCATTGCCAAGGTCATGTCCAGCAGCTCGCTGCTCTCGGAAACGCCGAAATCGCCCATCCTGGCGCGGAAGCCGTCGTTTGTCGTGCCCAATCTCGACATGAAGCAGTTCGAGAAGGACTCGGAGCTCCTCTTGCTCATCAACCAGCTCAAGGTCGAGCTCCAGCTCTGCCAAGACGAGGTGCTCGCTTCGTCATCGTCTTCAGTCGACTCAATCATCGCTTCTAGAACGCACAGCTCCAGAAGCAAGTCGCCCAACACCCGAGCGTCTCGGTACGCATCTTCGCCGGACGCGCTCCTCACCACCATTCCATAGGACCACAATGGCCGCAGTGCCCTCGAGCAAGGTACACGATGATCCATCCTTATTAGCGTATCGATGCGACCATGGATGCAGCGAGGTACTATGACGAGAAGACGCGCTACTTGGAGATGGAGAACGCGCGCTTGCGGCAGGTACGTCCACTCGGAGAGAGACCGGTAGGCTTTCTGTTCCTGTACTAGATGGGCTCCAACCAGCAGAGCGCTGGCGAAGATAAAAAGTGACCCCACCCTTCTCCTGCAGCGACATGAACCTCTGCTAGACGCATTGCTGAGCTCGAAGATGCGCTCCGAGAGGCCAAGCACACGGAGCGGCGCGCGCTGCGGCTCGTGGTCCTCGCCCTCGGCAAAGTACACACCGCCCGTAAGCATCGCAACATTGACGCTTACCTAGGAGACCGTTGCGGAGCTGCTGCAAGCGCCAGGCATGAACCAAAAGACGCTGGAAGAGCGCGTGCGCCTCGTCGTCGACAAGCGCAAGCCAAAGACCCGCTCCGTACGTGGCTGCTCGCGAAGCAACCACTGCAATAGTCCTTTGCTGGTGTAGCGCGCGCCGCCGCCCAAGCGCCCGCAGAGTGCGTCGCCGACCAAGGCCGCCGACAAGGCGATCCGAGCACGCTGCGTCGAGCTCGACGGTCTCTGGAAAAAGTATGGCTCTTGCGGGAGCTGAAGTCGTCGTGACGTACGACTGCTGCTAGGTACTGCAATGAGCTCGTGGGCCCGTCCAAGGAGTTTGCCGACTCGCTACGGCGCTAAATCGATTGAAAACGCATACGACGGTTGTAGCAGCTAGTTATATTAGTTGGGAAAAGAGTCGACGCATCGACGAGTACACTTTAGTCGCAGACGAGGACCTTGAGCATGTTGGTCGAGCCCGAGCGCGCTTCCATCATACCGTGGATGGCGACGACAGCGTCGCCCTTTTGGATCCAGCCAAACTGCTTGCCGAGGTCCGTCGCGCGGTACAGGATCGAGTCCGTACCGATCATGGAGCCCATGACGCGGCAGTACGAGCCCTTCAAGAAGCCTTCGCACTGGCGAGCAGTCTCGCCGAGCGCCGTCAGCACAAGGATCGGGCAGGCCGGGCGGTACTTGGCGATCAAGCGCGCGGTCGTGCCCGTCTCGGTGAGGACGACAATCATCTTGGCGCCCATGTCGATGGCGGTCTTGACGGCCGACGACGCGATCGCTTCCTGCGTCGACATCTTGCCGTTCGTCTCGAGCACCGAGTTGCGGAGCGCTTGGTAGAGCTCGTCGTAGTGGATCGCACCCTCGGCCTGCAAGCACGTCTTGTGCATCATCTCGACGGCCTGGATCGGGTAGTCGCCGTTGGCGGTCTCACCCGAAAGCATGACGGCGTCCGAACCGTCCAAGACGGCGTTGGCGACGTCCGTGCACTCGGCGCGCGTCGGGCGCGGGTTGTTGATCATCGACTCGAGCATCTGAGTGGCCGTGACGACGGGCTTGCCGGCAATGTTCGCCTTGCGGATCATCATCTTTTGGGCGAGGAAGACCTTCTCGGGCGCAATCTCCATACCGAGATCACCACGGGCCACCATGATACCATCCGTCTTCTCGAGGATCTCGTCAAAGTTCTGGAGACCTTCCTGGTTCTCGATCTTGGCAATGATCTTGATGGCGCGGCCACGCGGGCCGAGGACGGCGCGGATGTTATCGATATCCTGGGCCGTGCGCACAAACGAAGCGGCAATGTAGTCGACGCCCTGGACGAGGCCCCAGTTGACAATGTCGTCTTCGTCGCGCTCGGTCATGGTCGGGAGCGTGACCTTGGCACCCGGCAAGTTCATGTTCTTGCGCTCGCCAAGCACCGCCGAGTTGAGCGCACGCGCCTTGACGCCGGTCTCGAGGACCTCCGTGACTTCAAACACGAGCGAGCCGTCGGCAACGAGGATCGTACCGCCGACCTGCACCGACGTGGGCAAGTCTTCGTACGAGCACGCGAGCTTGGTTTCGTCGCCGAGGAACTCGTAGTCGGTCGTCCACTCGACAATCGAGCCCTTCTCAATGTGCACCTTCTTGTCCTCGGTGGCGAGGAAGCCGGTGCGGATCTCCGGGCCCTTGGTGTCGAGCATGATGGCCACGTGCTTGTGCGGGCGCGAGGCGATGGCCGTGCGGAGGCGGTTGAGCACTTCGCCGTGGCCCTTGTGGTCGCCGTGCGAGAAGTTGAAGCGCGCCACGTTCATGCCCGCGTCGATCATGGCCGTGAGCTTCTCGACCGTCCAGCAGGCAGGCCCGATGGTGCAGAAGATCTTGGTGCGGCGCGTCTGGCCCTCGTTGTTGCTCATGATGGCTTCGAGCTCGACGCCTTGCTTGTGCAGGTTGATCGCGCCAGCCATGGTAGGTTCTTGGTCTTGGGGAAAAAGGAAAAATGAATCTGCTCGGCCAGCGTGGCGTCGCACGGTATCCGGCGCGGCCGACGTGCTTTTTTTCCACATCCTACGCATTGTATCGCGAATTAAATCGCCCATTTTATTACGCCACCGATCCGGATACGCATAAAAGTGGAAGGAGGAACGAGGGACCATGGGTGCGCGCCGGCGGCCACGCGTGTCGCAGCGCAGCATGCAGCCCGTGACAAGTCGCTTGGCCACGGGGCCCCAAGCGACGAGAACCACCCGCCGGGACGATGATGGCGCCGAGCTTTCTGTGCACCGCGGTTGACCCCATCGCTGTCAGGTGGCATAGCCGGTAGTGGCTACTCGGTTAGCCGTGGTTTGCAACCGTGGTCGGCAATACCGGTAAGATCTTGTAGAAACCAGTACGCGAGGCAAGCACCTGCGTGCGTCCGAAGTCGTCCAGGGCGTGATTCCGCGGCAACGAGCGCAGCAGGTGTGGAGCGATGACGCGGATGGCGTTATAACACAGAACGAGGGGCTTTCTAACACCCACGCGGCGGCAGTTACGGGCGTTTTGTCGGCACTTTGCCGCCAAACACGTGTTAGATTGATCCACAAAGGTGTTAGAACGTGCAATAACAAAGCGCACCCAAGAATAAATCCACGCCAGCGGACTGTGGTACAATACGGTACTGGATTCTACCGCCAGCCGCGACGTATTTGGGTGCGCGCGCGTCTTTGCCAGTCGCGGACGAGGACGCCCACGGACATCCCGGTGCAGGCCAAAGCCGCGTGCATGCGACACCGACGTGCTATAAATATACACGAAAGGCGGCCGACATGGCGGTCTTTGCACCCGAAGTGAGCCTCCCGGTGCTGCAGGCGCTTGACGTGCGCGACCACTTTGCCCATGTGCAGCGTCTGCGAGCAACGCTATGCGCGATGCCCATGGCGCCGGACGCGGCGTCCATCCTCGCGGTACGGCGCTTCCACCTCGACCGAGTAGCTAACGGGGCCATCACCAGCAGCTCTTCGGCACGCTCGCAACGATGGAAGCCAAGTTTGCGACCTTTACGGTAGGTCGCCGTCATCGTCTTCGCACATCATATAGGATGTGCATGTGGTAGACGCACCGCGGCTTGCACATTGACAGCACGACGTTTCTGCGCTGGCGCGAAAAGCTCGCGGCGGCCGACGCACTCGAGCAGACGTACCTCACGCGCATCGCGGCACTTGAAAGCGCGGTTCACAGCCAAGCACCCAACACAACACCCGAGGGTCCCACCCCCGAGTGCCACGTGGCAGATCATGCGACGACCAAGCCCGCGGAGCTGGACGATCTCGTTGGTACGCATAGAACGGTGCGCATCGATCCTTGCTGACACTAAGGTGTAGCGCAAGTCCACGCGACCACGCGCCAGCTCGCAGAGAAGGACGATGAGATCCGATACCTCACGGCCGCACTCCAACGACTGACGACACAAGAAACCAAGCAAAAGCCAACGCGGTACGACCTCTACCAGCGCTTTCTATCTCTCAGTGCAACTGGTGGCGATGCGCAGCGCGTCGATGACCCAAACCGACGACCCGCGACGAAGCCACGGAAGAAAGAGCGACGCGATGGACAGTGCAGACACTCGGCTCGTTGCCGAGCTCGACGCCATTCGGCAGCTCGTGGATCCGTCCACGACGATGGACGCGGTGTGGAGCCAAGTCGCTGCCAGCGGCGTCCTCGCGATCGCTGTCTTGGTCAAGCAACGCGTAGCCTCGTACGTCTCGCTGCACCGAACGCGCCGATCTTTCTTGGCCGACGACGCCCCGACTCTCAAGCCGCGCATCTTGCACCCGCCGCCGCTGCAAGCGCTACCCCAAGTACAACCGCGCAGCAAAAGCGCCTTGCGCCGCATGCCCAAGGTGCTCCCCAACCAAGTGAGCGACGTTCGCCCGTCGGATGACCCGAGCATGCATCTCAATCTCAATGCAGCGCTCCGCATCTCCAAAGGCCCAACGTTGCAAACGAGCCGCGAGTCGAGCAAGCAACCGCTGCAGACGAGCCGTAGGACGAGTGAGGCCATGGCCACAGGCCGCCGACATCATGTTTTTATCAACACGGCGCCGTTGTTATGAGCGATGGAAACGCGGAGACTTGGTCGGCGGGGGCGATGGCACGAGCGCCAGTGTTCGGCCGCGCTCGATGACCTCCTTGGCAGTCTTGGGGATCGGGTGCGGGTCGTGCACGCGTCGAAAGTCCGCGCTCGGGTCGTGCTTGGTGCGAAGCGTCGAGCGTTTGGGGAGGACGCCGCCCATGGGATGCTTCTCGCGCGGCTGCAGCGCCGGTAGCGTCGAGCACACGTACGTCGGCCGCGACAAAATGGCTTCTTTTGATAGCAGCGCGTGGTCGCTGCCGCGTCTCGAGGAGTCGACCACGGGGTCTTTCGTACTTGGCGCTGTTGCCGGCTCGACCTGGCGCGAGCTCACGGCCGCGCGCCTTCATTAGACACATTGAGCTGTGAAGGCGATAGCTGTAGGGCGACGTACTGGAGAACGCCGAGGTTGCGCATGTTGAGGCGGTTCGAGGCCGAAATAACCGTGCGCGCTAAAGTCCGAAGCTTGGAGCTCGTGGCCACAGACGTGTCCAGCGACTGCGTTCGGTGCTTGAGGCCCTCCGTGTCGACAAACGCGAACGCGCCCTCTTGGCCATGGCGCTATACAAAGGTGTACATGGTCCACTTGCTGCTGAGAGATTCAAGTCCGTGCCATTTCCGGGGACTTGATGGCAATGTACAGACACTTGTACGGCGTCTGCTGGTGGGAGCTCCTGCCTTCGTCGCTCAGAACCTTTCCGTACATCGACGGACATCGGTACTACATGAAGATGCGTCCAACGCACTGCGAGAGCATGGCATCTTTGGCCCACGCGTTGTTGCTTCGGATAAAGTCCTCGAGCTTGAGGGTTGTTTGTTTCGGCGTGAGCTGCGAGATACCGTCCCACGCGAGGATCTAGGCGCAGCTCGCATCGGCGTTACGTACGCACACTAGCTGTACCTCGCCCTTGCTCACTTTGATGATCGTGATGAGATCGACAATATCCGCGGTTGCATCCCCGGATGTTGCCGCCGTCTTGCGCGCCGACATGAGTGCATCGGACGCGCTTCCTTTTGCCGTCGAGGACGTGGCCTTGTGGTGGTTGGTCCTGCAGAACCAGACTTCGCCGGGCTTGGGCATCGAGTCGTCCGAGAACTGCGACTCGACGTGCTGCCGGGCACTCATCGCCAACGCGATCGACCGGCTCGGAATGAACTGCTTGGTGTGCGAGTGTTTTGCGTGCATGATCTGCGGAGTCGACGAGCCGTACGTAGCCGGTCGCCCGAGGTGCCACGGTTTGTGCTTGCCAAAGATGCCGACCTGACGAAGAATGCCGCATGGGGATCCTTGATGACGCTTCTCGAGCGATACCTGGATACCGTCGAGCGTCCAGAGACTCACTTCCGCCGTTGCACAGGCCACGAGGATAAACATGTCGATTTGTCGCGTGTTCTGCGTCCCATGATGAACCAAGGGCCATAATTGTGGCAGGCGGCTACCTCGATGAAGTCGAGGCTGAGGATACGCCCCGCGGCCACGCGCCAGTGCCCCAAGTAGTCGAAATGCAGTCCCTTCTCGGCACACGCGACGCTAAGACTCCAAATCTATCCAGTTTCTGGCTTGAGCAGACAGAAGACAGTAACGACAACGGTGGTAACCTTGATGTAGCCGGCTGCATCACCTACCTCGACGCATGAGGGTACAAGAATCCATCAGGAGACGTGCCTGTGATGACGTTGTCGCCGCATCGATCACACGCAATGACGACAATGGCCTCGCCATTGGGGTGGTTGAGGGCCACCTACATGGGAGGCATGTGCAAGAGTCCACTGCGATGCTACTGTACGTCGTTCTTTTGGCCAGCGACTCGGTCGATGAAGAGAAGCCGTCCATCTTCGCCGCCCGCGAGGATGAGCTCGAGCTTGTTGCAGTAGACCATCGCCTCGATGCTGCCCGTGCTCTGATGCAGCTGCGTCACAAAGTCGCCCGAGTTGAGGTTCCAGAGTAGAATCTTCCCGTCGAGGCCTGCCGTCGCGAGCAAGCCCGGCGGGATGTACACCACGCAGAGAATGTCGTCCGTATGTCGCTTGGCGTCGTCCGCGTCGTCGCTCGGAAGGATCCACATCGGAAGCGGCTCGTCCTCGTCGTTGTCGTCGAGCCAGACGTAAATCTTGCGGTCCCACCCGACGGAGCACACGAAGCGCTGACACATGTACTCGCCCATGCCGACGCGCACGTTGCGCTCAATGTCCAGGATGCACGTCACCTCGCTCTGCTGGTACTGACCACGCGCCTTGCGCGGCGTCGCGAGCACCTGGGCATGCATTTCGTCTTCAAACTGCGGGTGCAGTGGACGCTTGACAGGGCTCGGCAAGCGCGGACTTGCCGCACTCGCTGCGTCGAAGCGGTCTGGTAGCATGGCAATGTCGCGAATGTGTGGCGGCCGCACGAGCGGTTCACGGTTGGCCTCCGTGTCGAGGACGGCTTTTTCGTGTTTCAGGAATTGCTTGACGAGCGCGCCATTGCTATTCGGATGGTCCACGCTATGAGACAATTGCGGATTGATTTCAATGGACCTAAAGTTCCACATGTTGATTTGAGCGCCGTCGTGGCTGCCAGTGATGAGCCGCCGGCCCGCGCAGTCGAACGTCATGGCCGTGATCGGACTCGCGCCATGCGCGTTGCTAAACGTACTGATCTCTTCGCCCGTCTCGGCCTAACGTTACATAAGAAATAAGAAATGAGAGGGATTCACAGCGCCGCCGCGTACGCTCCACGTGCGCACGACGCCGTCGTCGCTCATTTCGGCCGTGAGCACTTGGTTGAAAACCGCGTTGTAGCACGCGATGCACATGTTCTTTTTCTGGTTCGCCTCGGCTTCTTCGGACGACATGAAGCGCAGCGGCCAGCGCGCGAGGTGGGTCGTCGCACTGATCAAGCCGGGCGACTTGCGGTCAAACAGGAGCGCTGAAATTCGGTTGTCCGCGCCGCCCGTGGACCTATTTCATACGTTTTGTGAGTGTAGGTTGAAGTAAAAGGCAACTTGTTGCGGTCCACAAAGCTCTGGAGACACCGGTGGTTGCGGATGTCCCACACTTTAAACACATTGTCGGACGAGACCGAAATGATCTGGAAATTGTCATCGTCGACCGCAAGGTGCAGCACCGACGCCATGTGCCCCTACGCCCCATCCTTTGCATCGTTAAACGCTGTGCAAGGCGAACCTTGAGTGTTGCGGACGCGCGCTGCGACGAGTACGGGTTCCAAATGGAAATGTCCCGCTCCATACCACAGCTACGATTGCTCGGTTGCCTCGGACATCGACCACGGTAGCGAAATACCTGGCAATGAAGCGAGAGCTCGACGACCAAACAAGGTCGAAGACTCCTTTCTTGTGGCGTGTAAACTCAAACTTGGGCACCATGCGCTCAATGTCAATGATCTAACGCGCGTTTGAGCAACGAATGCGTGGTTTCCGCGTACAGAAATGTTGGTGTCGAGTGACGTGGCAACGATCGCGCGCATGTCGTGGACCCACTTGACACGGGTGATCCAGTCGCTACGATGCATGGGCGTCTCGCGTAGAAGGGGTTTTCGATCGATATACGTGTGCTTTTTGTACTTGGTGCGGGTGCTAAAGCCGTGCGTCTCGACCGCGTGGCTGCCGGGGCGACCGTCGCACGACGACCATTGGTTCGACGTGACCATGACCTGCGTGTTCAATGTAGCAAAGCACGATTACGAAGAAAGGGTGTACGGTAATGCCACCGGTATCGTCGCCAACGACGAGAGCTTCGCGCTCGTCACTTGGCTTCTCGACGTACTCCATACAGAGCGGGATGCACTGCTTCTTCGAGTACTCTGCAATCTCGCCAATCGGCTGCCCCGTCGACATGTCGTAGAAGGCCAGCGTTCGGTTCATGCTCGAGACAACGAGGCGGTTCGAGCGCTTCATGTGGCAGCAGTCGCTGATCCAGTTGCGGCCGGTCGCAATGGTGCTCTATGTGATTTGCCGCAACTGTGGCATGCCGGCAACGCTACCTGGTACGCGAGCGTGTTGGCGTTCCACGTGCGGACGGTGCCGTCGCGACTGGCCGTCACGTACAAGTGCGGTTTGTCAAGACCCACAATGCGCGTAATGATATCGCGGTGGTTGTTCACGGGGCGGACCGCCGACGTGTCGGCGTCGCCAGCCTCGGCCGTCTACGACAACGATCGTACTCATTTGAAAGCTTTTGCGTCGAGGACCTTTTCGGGTTGCGTCGTAATGTACCGGCAACTCATGTCGTCGCCAAGCTGAGCTTGTGTGCTGTCGCTGCCACTGAGAAACATGTACTAGCCAGAGTAAAGTCGAAACGCTGGTACGGAGCGAGAAGTCTACGTTGGTGAATTCGTCCCAGCTCACGGTGCCATCGCTGTTGGCATCGATCTTCTGGAACCTAGTACAAGCACGATCAGACGACGGTCGTTGCACGAAGCGCCGACAGGTCGGTGAGCTGCGTCTCGCTCAGTGTCGAGTCGATCGTCTCGCGGAAGAGGTGGACGAACTCGACTTCGCAGAGGTCGCCGTCCGCAAACTTTTCCTTGAGCGAGTGGAGCTGCTCGACGCCAATCTCATCGCGCGAGAAGACCGACGCTTGCGCCCGCCCGCTCTTGGGCATGCTTCAAGTTCTGCAAAGTGCCCTTTCAACGTCCAATCAGATTGCACCAAAATACCGCCCTCGCTTATCCGGAAGTGGCCCCACACCTTGCTCTCATGTCGACCACGACATCGATGCATACGTCTCAATATATCGTACACTGCGCAGCGTCACTGTACATAACCTTGAGCGGTGCATGCGGCCACGACGTCAATCTCCTTGTAGCTCACATGCACAGGACATGAGGCAGAATTCGGATAATCCAGTCCAGATCACGATTTGACGATTCCGGTACGAGCAGCATGGAGACTCCAACTACGCGAGCCTCGTGGTGCTCTTAGAGCTGAGGTTCAAGCTGAGAGCGCGCCAATATCTGGTCAAAGGGCTCCTTGCCAATGCTTGCGCCACGTCCCTTGTTGCTGTATCCGCGTCGAAAACTCGTATTTTAGCCAATCACGTTATCGTATTTCATGGTCCTGGCCAATCAACGCGCATTCGACGATTCGATCGCCAACCCTCAAGCATGATCTGGACGTCAGCGTTTGTCTTCGCCCGGCACGACGCGACGGTCTCGGCAACGCCCGACGCGCTCACGATCGCGGTGGCGAAGAAGCCCAAGATGGACGAAGCATTTGCGTGGGCGGACGTGCTCGGGGCGTCGGCCTTTGCCCGCGACGCGACGGCCGGCCTCGTCATTCACGTCTTTGCCAAGCACAAGAACGGCAAGCGCAAGCTGCGCGAGGTCCAGCTCACTGCGAGTGGCATGAACCAGCACGACATTGACACATGGCTCTGCGTGATCCGGTACTTTGCGAGCCCGACGCGCCAAGCTGACGAGTCGCTGGTAACGATGGACGTCATCATGCAGGCGCCGCCCAAGCAACGCGTAGGTGCATACTGCCATCATCGATCACCTTATCATCATCGATCACCTTATCATCTATTACTCTGTAGCGCTTTCTCGTTCTCGTCAATCCCGTTGGTGGCTCCGGTATCCTTCGAGTCATTAGAGTCCGATGTCCAATCGTGCGGTCTGACACTAGGCAAGGGCGAAAAGATCTACGAAAAGGTCGCACCGCTCTTCCTGCACGCCAACATCCGCTTGGAAAAGCTGGTCACAGAGCGCTTCGAGCAGGCCATCGAGATTGCTGCCGAGCTCGACCTCGATGCGTACGATGGCGTCGTCCTCGTCGGTGGCGACGGCGTAGCGTACGAAGGTACCGCACTGGGACTCGAGTTGGTTGAAAACGCCCATCATGCTTTGCAGTGATTCAAGGCTTGATGCGCCGGCAGGACTGGGCCAAGGCCATCCAATTCCCGTTCGGAATCATCCCCGCGGGTTCGGGCAACGGTCTCGCAGGCACGATGGCGCACGCGGCCGGCGAGCGCTGCAACCCAGAGACAAGCGCGTTTCTCGTCATCAAGGGTCGTCCTCTGCCCCTCGACATTGCGTCGCTGCGTACGACATCTACGTCCAAACTGCCATTCGGTAATGGTATCGGGCGTAGGCAACGCGGCGAGTACGACGTACATTTTTCTCTCGTTGTCGTGGGCGTTCATGGCCGAAGTGGACTTGGACTCGGAGAAGTACCGGTATCTCGGCGGCCAGCGCTTTGCCGTCTCGGCGGTCGCCAAGATCTTTACCAACAAGGGCTGGACGGGCAAGTTTTCGTTCGCGCCGACCACGCCCGAGGATGTGCCCATGTACTGGGACACGGACGCTACGCCGGGCGATGCGCCCCGGCTTTCGCTCCTGCCAGCGATCGGCGACCCGCTCCCAAGCGACTGGACGAGCACGGAAGGTGTCTTTAGCCTCTTTTGGGCCATGAACGTGACCCACGCCGGCCAAGACGCCCACGTCGCGCCCATGGCCGACCTCTGCGACGGCCACATGCACGTCGTCCTCGTGGAAGGCAGCGCTTCGTTGGGCGACTATGCCAGCGTCATGCTCAACATTGAGAATGGGGACCACGTCCAAAAGCCGTGCGTCAAGGTCGTCACGACCCGGTACGACGGTCGTGATATGTGGAGGCTCATCGCATCTGTAGCGCGTTCCAGTTGGAGACGCCGGACCACGACGTCCTCTCAGCCGACGGCGAGCGCTACGGCGGCGGCGTCTGCCAGGTTGAAGTGCACCGTGGCCTTGCGCGAGTTCTGGGCCTCGTCGCCTAAGGCTGGTCGAGGACCATCCGGCGATGCCATTGGTGGCTTTATTAATGCACTCTATTTTTTTACAAATGAAAGCCGTTGGAGCCAAAGTGCATGTATTTTTTTTAAAGTGGTGTGGCGTTTTAGGACCAAGCCACGGAATATCGTTTTTTCGCCGCCGACGACACGAAGGATGGAGACACGGCGCCGCGCCCTCGCGGTCGTGGCGATGGCCTTGGTCGCGCTGTCGACCAGCGTCCATGGCCTTGGCTCTGCTGATGGCTCTAGCAGCAGCATCTTGGACATCACGCCGCCGCCCGCGCAGCCGATCGGAACGCACGTCGTGCCGCCGAGCAACCACACAGCCGTCGACGACGTCGCCTTGCCGAGCCCCAACACAACCGAGGCGCACGCGGAGAAGGCTGGCATGGGCGACGAGCCACCGGCACCAGTGGTCGTGGATGTGGCTTCCGACGGGCCGACGACGTTACCTGGCAATGCGGAGCGACAAAAGCCCGTGGTCCCGGGCGAAGTCGATAGCACCCACACGAGTCCGACCGAGTCCACAGCGGTCCCAACGCCGATTCCATCTACCTCAAAAAACGCACTGGAGCATTCCAAGAACACGGAGCCTGCCATTCTGTCTTCCTCGTGGAGTGAAGAGAGCGCTGAGATTACGGGCGACGGGACGGCAAGCTCCGAAACAACCGCACCGTCTGCTACGTCCAGCACGACCAACGTACCTCTCCAAACAGCAACGTCTGCGCCAACGACGACGCCCGCGCCTACGACCCCGAAGGAAACAACGCTTGCACCTACTACCGACGCTCCAACGACACTTGCGCCTACGACAGAGGCTCCAACGACAGAAGCGCCGACAACACCCGCGCCTACGACGACGCAAATGGTAACAACCAATGCACCCACGACGGCGTCCAAGGCAACGAGTCGTCCGGCCCTGCGGACTGCGGCGCCTGTGGACGGCGGCGACGGTCTCGAGGAAGGCGACACGACCAAGCCCGCGGGGGTGCTCGAAGGCGATGAGAACACCGTCGTCGTCAACAACGATGCGCGCCCGAGCAGCAACAAGAACCGCGCGACCAAGCCGACGATGATGTACGCGACCATCGGCTTTTTCGGCTTTGGCGTGCTCTGCGTCTTTTTGATTCTGCGCCGGCGCCGGTCTCCGACCTCGTCATCGCCCCGCCACCACCGGCCGGCAGCGCCTACCGCAGGCACGTACGCCAAGTACGTTCAAATTCCCTGGCGCGCATCATCTCATGCTGCACTGTGTAGGCTGGCCAACCCGCACGACCCGTATGACGACGTCGATGACATGGACTGGGACGAGGAGACGTGGGACGATGACGCGGCGACGTCGACGCCCCGACGCCGGTTGTCGCCGGACGCCCACAACCCGTTCTCGCGCGGCCGACCGGACCCGAGCCCGCCCATGACGCCGCGCTCGGCGCCAGTCATGGAGACGACCATGAGTGCGCCTGTGATTCCTGTGCTCCCACCGCCCGCGCCGACGCTCGCCCAGCCCATTAACCCGTTCGCAGTGAACCACGACGTCTTTAGCGTACTTTAAACGACGACGTTGACGCCGTCTGACGTGGGGTAATAGGAGTTTGGTATGGTGCCCCAAGTGACCACGGCGACCAAGACGCCACCGACGTCGTCGTCGCCGCCAAAGTCGCAGAGCTCGCCACCCAAGCCGACGACAACACCCGCGACTAACTTATTTGCGATGGAGATGGACGACCATGTACGCCAACTGGCCGCCGATCCCATCATCCTGATCGTCTCTTTTCTATGATAGGCCGATGCGTCGGGCTGGGACGACGACGAGTGGGCCACCTAAACCATCATACAGTTGCATCGCGAGCCAAGTTATCCCCAGACCCTTTCGATCCGGTCGCATGCTAACGAATAAGCAAAGTAGATTGTGTAGCAACTTGCCACTGCAGAGTACTATGCGAGAACGTATGACCCGCCCGTGACTTGGAGTTTGTATGCTGCGTCTGGAATCTAGGCCCGGGCGAAGCAGATTCGTCAGGGCCTCCAAGGCGGAGCCAGCGGTAACAACACCCAACCGACGAAGGATGTGCGCCGGGAGCGCCGTCTTGTTGGAGTTGTTGTGCTGGACCCTGATGAGGCTGTGTTGCGAGCAAGATGTGGCGTGGGCCATGTCTAGCCGCACTAAATATGGCATTTCCGGATTGCCGTTTCTTCCAGTTTGTCGTTGAAGTTGAAGTGGCCCGGATCATGCGCAAGGCAACGACCAAGCTCGCGCCGATCTCGCACCAGCAGTTTGCGTCCCAGTCGTCTGAGGAGCTCGCCGTTTTGCGTGCGATCGTCGTGCGCGAGGGATGTCTGGACTACACCCTCGAGCTCACAACCGGCTTCGTGCCGCCGACGCCACCCGCCGACCTCCTCCAAGCGCTTTTGCAGCTGCGCCTGGCATCCATTGAGGTCGTCGAAGCCATTGCGCTCTGGCTTCGCATCCTCGTGCGTCCTTCGCTCCATCGACCGATCGCTGAATCGATGCATAGGTGCGTCCCATGCCGTTTCTGTGGCGCGGGACCAACTACTTGCTGCGCATGGTTCACGACACGGACTTCGTCGCCAAGAGCTCTCAGGTCGCGGCCGCGCTCGGCGTTGCCCTCCGGCGCCGCAATCCGTTTTGCACGGCGCCGGGCCTCGACATGAAGCACCGCGTCCGGGACGTGTCCACTGCGTCCGACCTCGTGCATGTCATCGATCCGAGTGAAACGAACGTCGCGCTGCGCCTCCACCGCGCCGAGCTGCTCGTTCTGCTCGAATCCGACGGCCACATGGTGGACAACCGGGCCACAGACGAGCGCTGGTGCCAACTCGCGAAACAAGAAGCCGAAGAAGTGAGCCGCCGACGGTTTGGGGGATTACAGCACGAGGTACCGTAGGTTGGCGACGTAGATGATGCCGTCCATTTGCATCTAGTACTCCCTTCAATGAATACCGTCGTCCAATAGAGCACGATACTGCATACGTTGGTGACCGCGTCGAGGATCTGTTGGGTCTTGAGCTGCGGGCACGCGACTGCGAGCTCTTCGAGCGTCAGGCCGGCGGACGCCGCTTCGAGCTGCTCATAGATCAGAGTGCCTAGATATATATGGTAGGATGCGAGTCCGGTGGAAAGATCGACGCACCAATTTCCTCGGCGCTGAGCTCGGCCACCGGCACGTTGCCCATTTCGAGGACGATGACGCCACCAGCCTTTTCTTCGTACTCGCTAATGTAGCTGCGAAAGTGGCTTGCAGCTACGGAAACAGTTGTGTGTCAGACGGCAGTGTTGGCGCGCACCCGTCGCAGGCGACACGCTCTCTGGAAGGAGGAGCGCCGCATCTTCCGCGGCGACGGCTTGGACGACGCTCGGGTACGTTCGCTTTGCCCGCACTTTGGAGACAAAGGCTCCGTTCAAGACAACGGTGTCGCCTGCTTTGATGATCGAATACGGCGGCTTGTTGGCGCTAACAAGCTGGTGGGAGCTATACCTACAACATGCAAGGCGCACCGTAGCTCGAGCTGGCGCAGGCCCCTTCCGAAGCGGTCGCACTCGGCCTCGCGTACGGTTAGAAAATACTCGGCAGGAGGCGCCGTCGCCGTCAGTGTGTCGCTGAGACCGTCGGGGGTGAACTTGCGCTTGATGGTCGCCTTGACGACGGTCGGGAGCGGCGTGACGCCGTCCATCGCGTCGGTTTGCGCCGGCCGGTTTGAAAAGTAGCACTGCTTGTACCTAATGCAAGCTTGATGAAGATGGCGTGGCTGGCTCGCAAGCACGTGCAGCTGGATGATTTCAAGGATCCGCAAGGTCTCCATGTTGGGGTCCTGCACCGGGTAAATGCTACATGGCCGATGAGATGCCATGCAGAGGATGCGTCGCCTTACTGGTTGCCAATGATGTATTGACATTTGAGTCGCGGGTGCATGGGCTGGAGCTCGCCGAGGCAATCGATCTACAAGGAAGGAGCTGTGTAGTGTCATCATCGCATCGTGCTATGTCGTGTACGAGGTCGCCAAGGTTGATCTTCATGGCGACGGTCACCTGGATGAGGATCGTGCCCGAGCCATCGTCTGCGAGCGCGAGCATGGTGCATGAGGAAGGCGAAGGCGACAGTGTCCATCGTACCGATCTCGACCATGTGCTGGGCGACGCCGATGACGACGCCCAAGATGCGGACGCGATTGAAGCGCTGTGGCGGCCGGCCAATCACGAATTTCTTGTCTCCATCGTCCCATCGGCAGCGGTCGGCGTTCTTGACGTCGGCGAGGAAGAGCTTGAGGTAGTGGGCCATGCTGCGCTCGCCCAACTATCAATACTATTTCACTTCAATCAGCCATCCGACGTATATACTGTTGGATACTATTTCATGTCGTACACTATATTGAATCGCGTCGGTTCTCGGAAGATCTTCCAAGATACCGAGTTGCTCGACAGCAGCATGATGAACCCGATGGACCTGCTCGACATGGAGCGCCGCAGCGGCGTCTCCAACCAGGACCTCGACGACTTTGTGCGCAAGGCTGACGCGGTGCGTGACGGCGAAGCTGCGTGCCACCTGCATCGTTCTGCGCTAGGTGGCCCGCGCCGTCGACCAGATCAAGAATGGCACGTTCGACCCCGACGAGTGCGATGTACGCATTTGACCGACTTGGCGCCACTCCACTCATGGCGCATTAGGTGCCTGGCTACCTCACGCCCGAGCAAGAGGCTGCGGAAGAGCGCGCTCGCCAAAAGCGCGAAGCGGAGCGCAGGCAGCGCGAGGTGCGTCGAGAAGAGCCTTCATCGATAGCCTCAGTATTTTGGCGATGTAGGAAGAGCGCAAGCGCAAGGAGAAAGCCGACGAACACGAGAGCTGGTGGACGCGCGCCAAGCTCCGCTTTTCGATCGAGCGCGCCGAGGACGACGGTGACGACGACGACGACGCAGCCAATGCCAAGGCCGATGCATGGGCGAACCGCGTCGTCCAAGCGTACAAGGCGCGCGACGGTACGGCAAACGCGATGTTGGCATGCCTGCAAGAGCTCCATTAGCCAACGACTACTCGGTCTGGAACGCATGGGAGCCCAAGGACCCCGTGACGATGGAAGAGAAGGCGCGCCAGGCCGCGCTGGACGAGAAAATGAAGAACGACGCGTTCGAGCGCGCGAACCCAGACTTCTGCACGCAGTTTCAGGAGGACATTGCCAAGCGTCAAAAGTCGACGCGCGAAAAGGCCAAGCTCGCCGAGAGTACGTTCTCACTCGCACCACCTCGTTGCATCTGGCATTAGAGCTCAAGATGCGCGGCAACGCGCACTACAAGCGCAAGCAATACGCCGACGCCATTACGCAGTACATGGCGGCGCTCGCCGAGGCACCCCACGACGCCGCGATCTTGACCAACGTCGCGCAGACCTACCTGCGCCTCGAGTGCCTCGACGACGCGCTCGAGTTTTGTACGCGGGCGCTGTATGTAGCTCCGACGCACATGAAGGCGCTCTCGCGCAAAGCCGCCGTGCTCCACCGCTTGCAGGACCTACCGGGCGCCGCCGCCGTCATGAAGGAAGCGACGCGGCTCCATCCGGACAATAAGGATCTCCTCGAGCAGCACTCTGCGATTGTCGGCGAGTACGACGACGTGTGCGCACGGTCGGCGCTCGACGCGTCCATGGCCGCACCGCCGACTCTCGATACGCTGCATTTGCACGCTGCGAAGGAGCTCCTTGCAAAGCTCGACGACGACAGCTCGGCCCTGGCTGCCCTCTCGCCCGTCCTTCAAGTCGATGCACAGGTGCGGCTGCTCTTTCGAACGTCGGGCGCACTGGCGTCTGTGGCGGCGGCGGCGGAAACCAATGCGACGGCACTCGACTGCCTCGTCGCCGCGACGGCCACCGACGACCGCAACAAGCGCGCCTTGTATCATGACGCCGCGTTTCGCGCCTGGTTTACTGCCGCGTTGGCGTCGTCGAGCACGCCAGCCTTGTGGCAGCTCTTGGAAGCGCTGGTCGCCGTGCCGTTCTGGAAGAATTTGGTCGTGCAAACGCCGAGCCTTCTCGCGCAACTGTTGCGCCTCTTGGCGCCGAGGAGCGATGTGGCGGCGACGGCAGCCAGCCTCCTCTTTACGGTCTCGGACCTCCACGCGTGCCGGGTGACGCTGACGACATCGCTGGTCCAGCCCGTCCTTCGACAGAGTGTGGCCTTTCTAAGGGCACCGGCTCCCGAGGCGCTCAGTGATGTGCTCGGAACGTTGCTCAACCTCTCGAACGAAAGCGTCTTTCGCGAAATCGTCGAGACCGAGCCCGACGTCCACCTCGAGGTATCTTTCTTCTGCTCGTGTCGCATGGTCGAGCCAGCCCTCATGAGTCGTCCATGCAACGCTAGATGACGCAGTGCTTGGTCGACACGCTGGCGGCGTCGGCGTCCGAGCGCGCAGCAGCTGTGCTGCTGAACCTCGCCATCAACCCGACATCGGCCATCCGCAATGACTTGCACGTGGCGGGCGCACCTCGCGTCCTCTTTGCGCTCCTGGAACGCGATGGTATGCGACTGGAATCCGCTTGACAGACTCACAGAATACCTGTAGGCGAGCGTACGCTCCAGTCGCACTGCGTGAGCCTCCTCTGCCGCCTCCACTCGCTGCCGGCGCTGCGCCACGAGCTTGCGCAGCCGACCGACCTTGCACTGCTTTGGCGCGTCCTCGAAACGTCGATGGCGGCCGTGGCACCGGATGCAATGACGTGGCACGTTCGGGCGCAAGTGCTTTGTCATTTTGCGTGGGTCATGGAGCTGCCGTCGACGCGGGCCTTTTGTCGCCGAGCCCACTGCCTCACAGCGCTCTTCCGCAGCGGCCTCCTCACTCACACAGCGCCGTTCCCACCGGCGTTTGAGCGCTGCTTGGCGAACGCGACCAAGTGTGCGATTGCACTCGTGCGCGACGGCCAGCGCGATGATGTCGACGCGATCGTGCAGAATGGCGGGCTCGAAGCGCTCGTCGAGTGTATGCGCAGCGCCAAAGACGACAAGGTCGCGCGCAAGAACGTCGCGATCCTCCTCGCATCGCTCTGCGGCCAGGACGAGGCCATCAAAGCGCGCGTCCGCGAGCTGCGTGGCATTGAAATGATGCTCGACATTTGCCGCTCGATGAAGTTGTAGGCAACGGCAACTTATCCTGTACATACATCTAGATCCATGCATGTACCATGTTGCCACGATCGTCGATGGCTGCTGGCGCCAGAGACACGGTGCGCCTCGTCGACATCGGGAGATCCATCGCATTGTATGCAAGGCTTCCTTGGACATCATTGCCGATCCTTGGTCGTATGGACGCTTCGCCAGCCCGTAGCCGGATGCCACAAGCATGCATCGCGTCGCCATGACGCGCCCATTGCATGGTTCTCCTCGCCTGCCGATGCCACGCTGGCCATGGAGCGAGCGTCCATGCGCCGCTGACCTGGGTCGTTGCGCCGCTCATATTATGCGCCTTCGACGCAGCGATGCAAAGCCATGCAGTCCGGATACGGCGGTTGCCTCGCATCCGGATGGTGCATTTCTCTGTGTTGACGTAATTTGACAATGCTCTCATAGGTGCCTTCGGTGCTAAAATACTCGTGGTATTAATTTTTGAATATGCGGCGTTTTATAGTGTGTGGGCAACCTTGCGCATGGTTTGTTGATTGCCTGCGGAAACCGATAAACCTGTCAAAGTCGATGGGTGAACAATTGGCGGCGAGGTGGCTATTCCCATTTCACCTTCGAAGTAAGATGTTGTACGAGCTCTTGACCAAGTTGCCCAAGACGCAGGCCATTGGCGTCTCGATTGCCGGCTGCTTCGCCTGCTCGTACGCCGTCTTCGGCACGCTCCGCTACTCGGGTACGACCTCGCCATGGCGATGATCCATGGCTCATGCGACCTGTAGGTGAGGACTTCGGCGGCGCTGCCCCTGGCGAGCCCAAGACGACGTCGGCGGAATGGAAGGAGGCCACCAAGGCCTACGCCGCCCACCAGAAGATGGAGCCCATCACGCACTTCCGTCAATAAATACGCGGCTAAAATGGCCTCGTTTGCAACGACGAACGACCTCAACTTAATTGCAATATATAGATTGTTTGGACGCGTGCGTCAACGACGTCGATCCAGACAGGTGAAGCGCGTCGGTTGCTACTCGTAGGCCTGCTGCACACAGAACACGCTGCCGTACTCCTTGAGCAGGTCTACAGAAACGTCGCAGGGAGCTGCCTGAAGGACTGCAGCATGAAGTCGAACTGGCACGATTAGATAGAATTAAAGGGCGTAGTGAGGTTATTGCTCGCAGGCACGAGGTGGTATTGATCGCGAGACTTACTGGAGCGGGACCGGCTACGCGCATGGACAGAGACGACATGAGGTGCACGTTCGACCATGCAACCAAGGGAGTGATTACCTGTTGTTGCGCCTCGAGCTTCTCGGCTTCTCTGCGCTCCCACTCGGCAATGGCTTCCTGGATGCGTCGCGCCTCCATTTTGGCCTCTTCGGCGACGAGGTCGGCGTCGTCCGCGACATCCAACTGGCCATAGTAGTCGGGCTCGATGCCGAGGTACATGTCTTTTCTATGCAGGAAATCAGTCGTCTTGCTACATTGCACGGCGTATCACGTACCGACTCCGCTTCTGCTTGGGTGGCTCTTTCTTCTCAAAGAGCTCGCGAACGCCCGGTAGATTCTTGGCCGCGCCAAAGTACTTGTAGCCCTTCCCGCTCTGCAGCGTCACACCGTCGGCCTCGTAGCCGTCTTCAAACTTGCCCGACGCGTAGCGCGATCCGCCGAGCTCGACGATGCGCTTCTCCCACATGTGCTTCTCGCCGATGCGCTTGTTGATGAGGTCGTTGAGATCGCGGATCACGTGCTCGCCGAGCGAGGCTAGCCCATTGTGTAAGTCGTCATCGCCTGGCATGCATTGCAAGCGTACCATTTTGGATCTCCGACACCTTGCGCGAGATGATGCGGATCACTTGGCGGCGGTAGCGCTCGGCGTCGGCGAGCGACGTGCACTCTTTCGTGTCCCAAGGGCGGCGCCTACGACAGCCCATGAGTCGCAGTCTCCTTCGCTCCGGCGACGCACCCATGAACGACCTTGGACATGTCCGTCTTCATGGACGTCCATCGGTTGAGCATCGCATTCGCCTTCTCTTCGTTACGGGCCATGGCTGTCTTCCTCCGTCGCTTGCTCGCCGCCGCTGGTGTTTTGTGGTGGCCTTCAGCGAGGCGCCAGGATCTCGTTTCGGCACACACGCCCTAAAATAAGGCGCCCTGGCGGATCCGGATACGAAACCAGGACTAAAATCCCCACCAATCATTTGGGTCGGCGCCGTCCTCGTTCATTTTCGATTTCAACAGGCGCCCCGTAGACGACGATGTATTAGGATGTGGAGAGATGATGACACCTATTCTAGCTACCTGATATCGGCGCTCGCGCCTTGATGGAGGAGCAAGTTCTACATGAGATTGCTGATCTCCACGCTCGTTTCAACCAGTATTAGCTTTACTAGATAATCGCCGTTAACCCAATTGAAGCTAAAAGTACACGCACATTTGAACCTCATCCAAATCGACTACCAAATGCATTGTTGACGTCTCGAACGACTTAGGCGACGACGGCCTCGATCATCTTCTGGAAGACACCGTTGAACGCCATCTGCTCGCCCTTGACGCACACCTTGGCGGCGCTCGAGCCGTCGAACGTCACTTCGAGGAGCGCGAGGACGTTGGTCATGGTCTTGAACGAAAAGTACCCAATCTCCTTGCCGTCGACCGCGCGCTTGGCGACGTAAAAGATGTTGCGCGGCTTGAGCGAAGCCGCGAGGCCGTCGACGGACGCCGACGCGCGGCCGAGGTTGAGCGTGAAATACGTCTCGTTGGCCTCCGGAATGCTCTTCCAGAGGTTGATAAACTCACCCTTCTCGACGAGGCCGGCTTCCGTGCAGATCGCGCTCACGTCGAGGTCGGTCGTGAAGTAAATGACGTCGTTGGAGCCCATGTTCTTGAGCGCGGCTTGGACCGCCGTGTTGGGCGCGACGGTCGCGTTCACAAACTGCGGGCTCACCGTCATCGGGATCGAGCACGACGTCGACGCGCCGGGCGCGAGCGGCGACGGAAACGTCACTTGCGGCTGCGTCGGCACGACACCAAACGTGCTCTTGTTCAATTGGATCGCGAGGCTCGGGATTGGAACCGCGCTTTGGTTCTCGACCTCCATATCGAGGTGGAACGCACCCGCCCGACGGCTGTAGCACCCACGGAGCACGAGGCCCTTGCCCGACTGCGCGTTCGTGAATGGCAGCATCTTCTTGGCTGGCGGCGCCGCCGACGACGGCGTCGGGCTGCCAAAGATGTCGAGCGGCGCGGCAGGCGGCGCGGCAGCCGGGGCATGACCACCGACGGAGAGCCCGCCCATGTCGAGAAGGTCGACGGGACCACCGGACGACGCACCACCATCGGACGTCTCGGCGCCATCGTCGTAGCGCTCGTCGCCTTCCGTGTCGCGCTCCTCTTCGTTTTGCTTTTGGATGTCGGCAATGTTGGTGCGCACAACAAACGTGTTGGGGAGCTTGTGGTACACACTCGCGAGCGTCGAGATCTTGCCAATGAGCTCGTCCAAGATCGACGGCTCGAGCGTGAACGTGTCGTCGCTGATCACGGGCTTCTCCGAGAGCACAACAGCCTTGGCGGCCTCGGGGTTGGCCGAGAGGAGGCGCCAGTACACGTACCCACGGTCGCGCAGATCCGGGTTGTCGCTCTCCTCCGTCGCCTTCTTGAGAACGGCTTGGACCATGGCCTGCGTCTCGTTCGGGCGCTTCAAGAAGAGCTTCACCGTGGACGTGAGGAGCTGGAGCTGGACCTGCGCCGTCTCGTCCTCGAACGAGTCGAGGAAGGACTGCAAGAGTTCGTCGGCGTTGTCAATGCGCTCGGCGTACTCGCCAATGATCCAGATCATCGAGGCCTTCGCCTCGGGCTCATCGAGCGTGTCGAGGTTCTCGCACAACGTCGCAATGATGCTTTCGTACTGGTTCGGGTACTTGCGGAAGATGTCCTTGATGACGACGATCGCTTCTTGCACAATGTAGTTGACCTTGGTCTGGATGAGTTCGAGGAGCACTTGGATGCACTTTTCGGCCGCGTTGTTGAGCTTGATAGCACAGCGCCCGATCGCACGCACGCTCCGGCGCACGAAGTCCACGTCGACCTCGGTCGCATACTCCTTGAACTCGAGAAGCACCTGCTCAATGTTGCGGTCCGAGACGAGGCGGATGATGATCTCGAGCTTCTCCATCTGTGCAGAAACGACGTATGAGCACGTGGCTCTTCTCGTCGGCAGCGAGTACCTTGACGTAAATCGGGTCGTTGTACTTGCAGAAGAAGACCTTGATCTCGTTCGACAAGATCGTCGGCCGCTTCTGCACGATGAGGTTGATGTTGCGCAGCGCGACGTATTGGATCTCGGGCTCGGTCGAGAGCAACGTAACGAGCGGCGGCGCCATCTTGCGCGAGAGCGCGCGCTCCGTGTCTGCGTTCGACACCTTCTCCAAGAACCTGCATAAAAGGTGAGACACTTACACAGGAGGAAGGATGAAAGCTCGTACTTCATGATGACCTTGACGGCCGAGAGCACGACGGCCGAGTTGGCATGCTGGAGGCGCGGCGTGACGCGCTCAATGATGCCTTCGGCTTCACGCGAGTCGGTCGGCACGTAGTTGGCCAGTGCGTCCAGAACAAACACTTGGCCCATTCGTTGCACTCGTTGAGCGCCGCCAGGAGCTTCTGGAGCACCGACTTGGTGATCTACGCAGCGCGATATGAGAATACACCATTTACATTGCAGGTGCGAACCTTGAACTGGTGGGCGCCGCCGTTCTCCGAGATTTCAGACAAGGCCGCGACAGCGTTGGCGACGACCTGCATGGCACGCGTGAGCTTCGGGGCTGAGGAAGCGATGCGTACCGTCGGGTTCGAATCAGAGATGAGCTCACGCAGCATGTCCAGAAAGCCCTGCTCGTCGACGAGTTCCGGGTTGATATCGTAGAGCTTGGCGACGCAGATCGCGGCCGTCTTGCGCACGTACGGGTCCTACGCGCCAAGTGCATCGGTCTATGCAGCCTTATCGCGTGCGCGTACCTCGTCGGTCAAACACTTGCGCAGCGGTTCGCATAAATATTCCGTGATGCGGTCGACGCGGATGCAGCCCATGGTCCGCACCGAGAGCGCGCGCAGGAGCGGGTTCGGGTCGTTCGCATCCTACGCTCGCCGTCTTAGCTTCACGTGCTATCCCAAGCGGTCACGTACTTTGACAAAGGTGTTGACGGCGAGGATCGTCAAGTCCGGGTTGCTCTTGGCGTAGTTGATCAGGTAGAGGTACACGAGCTTCTTCAACTGCGTGTCGGCCGTCTGGATGCAGTTGACGACGTCCGTGAAGAGCATCGAGACGTCCTTCCCGACGGTCATGTTGGCGATGACCTTCTTCACCGCGTCCTTCTTCTTGTCGCGGCTCTGGTCCGCGAGCTCCGTGCGCAGCTCATGGGTCTCGCCTACGTCCACGTGGCTCCATCTCGTCCACGCAGCCATGCTCATGCGTACCCTTCTTGCTCGTCGTGAAGAACTTGGAGTCGTTGCCTTCCCCGCGGATCTTCTTGGCCAGCTCCGCCATGCCCGCCGGCATGTTGGTGTTGGCAGCGATGTTCTTCATCGTGGCGGCGAACGACATGCTGCGTCGTCCGTCTCTCTTTGCAAAAGTCAATCTGCCCCATACAAATGGAAGCACTAAACAGCCGTGTAACGGACCGCCGCTGATTGGATGAAATTCAACCCACATCGAGCTGTGATTGGGCCAAAAGAGTGCGATCTTTGCGTCGTTTCAACTTCGGCTTCGAGATTCCTCGCTTCTCACCAAGCTGCGGACTTTGAGAAGAGATGGCGACGGACAAGGCTCATGGAGGGGTCCCGTAAGTACAGCCTCATGGACGCCCCATGGGTCAAGGAGGCGAAGCGATGCAGCATGCACGGAGCAGCGAGTACGATGGAACACGGAGATGACATTGATCGTTCAGGCTGAGGGTCATGTGGGCGGCGCCGAGGCAACAAAGGCGGCGTCGAGGTCTTGGCATGTGGCGGTAAGCGAAGCCAGCGCTTGCTGGCGAAATACGAAGCGGGCAGCAAGGTCGGCGAGGGCTTGGTTCTCAAACAAGCTCTTCTCCATGCATTCGTAGTGGCACTCCTAAGGCTCATTCAACAGGCGTCTTCTCATCGCCGGCGAAGCACGAGTACCTTGCAGACAATCTTGCTTTCTCGGTTGCCGCGGACGACACAGCGCCGACAGAACGTGTGGCCACAGCCCACGAGCGTCATGGGCTGCGCGAGCACTTGCATACACAAGAGACAGGTAAATGTGCTCTACAGCACATGTGTACATGAAGCGCGCAAGACACGGCAGCGAGCGTAGTACCTCGGACGACGCCTCGGCCTCGACGATCTTTTGCACCGTCGCGCGCAGCTCGTCGTGGGCGCGGCGAAGGAGGGTCGCGGCCGCGGGGTCCGTGGTCCTCGCCTGCAACTCGTCAAACGCGATGCGCAGGGCAGTGACGTCGGCGCGCGCCTTGGCCAAGTCGGCGACGGCCGCGTCTTTGGCGCAAAGGAGGTCCGTTTGCTTGGCGAGCAACGCGTGCATTTGTGACTGCAGCAATGCGATCTGGTTGTTCTCACCCGCCTTGAGGCGCAGCACGAGCGCCGAGTTCTCGTCCTGCAGCTCGCCAACACGGGCTGCGAGCTGCGCCTTCTCTTCCGAGAGGATCGAGAGCGCTTCGTCTTTCCCATTGCGCGCCATTTGGAGCGCTGCCACGGTCGCGTTCGCCGACGCGGGTGCGTCGTGGAGACGGTGCAGGAGACTCGACTCGTCTCGCGGCGCTTGGTGCGCTTCGAGGTGCGCGACTTGCTTGACGAGCGCTTCGATCTGCGCTGTCATGCCCGCCATGGCCACCTTGTACTGGTCGACAAGCGCCTGCTTCTTGGCCGACACGTCGCGCTCGAGGAGCAAGTCTGTCTCGAGCGTACCCACCGTGCTTGCAAGCTCGAGGCACTTGGCGTCCAGCGCGTTCCGCTCCTGGCGCATCTCGGACGACCGCTCGTGCGCAAGCTCATCGCCAAGTCGAGCTTTTGCCTACGTACGTAGTATGTGCATGGGATCAAGTCGCACGGCCACGTTGGTCTACCCGCGCGAGCTCCAAGTTCGTCTCCATGAGGGTCTTCACCTGGGCTTCCAAGATGGCATGGACGCTCTCTAGGTGCAGGAGCTTGGCATGCGTCACTGCGTGGTCGTCCGAGATTGCGGCCACCGTCGTCGTTAGCTCTGCAATTCTATCGGTGTGCAGCGCCTTCTCGTTTGTGAGCGCGGCAATTTCGTCGTGGAGGCCTTGGTGCCCTCTTCGGTCGCGCAGCGCCTTGGCGTTGGCGTCGTCGTGGGCGCGGACGACCTCGAGCCGCAGCTGGTCGTTCTCCAGCGCTAATTTCTAGCCATTCGGTAAACGTCTCTGCGCAAACTGTGAATGCTACTTTGGATGTTGCTTCAAACTGCAGGAGCGTTTGATTCTGCTCTCGGAGCTCATGCGTCTGCGCTCGCAGCGCGAGAACTTCGTTGGCTGCCCGCTCGAGATCCAAGCGGGTACTCTCGAGCGTCATTGACGTGTGCTGTCGACCTCCCTCGGCTTTCTGTAGCTGCTTGATGAGCTGGCGATTCGTCTCGACAAGGCTCTGGTGCTGGTTCTCGAGAGCGCGCAGCTAAGGATGTATTGACGTGCTCGCGTGGGAGATCTGCGACCCTACCTTGGCGTCGAGTTCGATTGACGCGTCAAAGGATTTGAGGTGCGACACGCGCGGTGTACTGGGCGTCGCTATGCTCGTGCGAGCTCTCTCTCGATTGCTCTCGCGCGAGGCTGCGCGCTGGTTTCTTGGGCTTGCATCGTCTGGAGCTCGCCTAGAGTGCGCTCCGTCCTCATCGTTCCGACGCTGCGCACCTTTGAGTGCTTCAATATCGACTTTGGCCTTCTCCAGCTCTTGTCGCGCGTGAATGGCATCGTTGCGCTCTTCTACAGCGCGAATGAGCGAAGCTGTTACGGTAGGTATGACAACTCGTGTTGATGGACGTGAGTGCAGCGAGGTTGCGATGCACGCCGAGCACGACATCACGCGGCATGTCATTGCGGCCCTTGGCATTCTGCCGCCGCATGGCGAGGAATTTGGTCTTATTAAGACCACCGGCCTCGTCTTGCTGTTTGCGCGGAAAGGCCGCTTCGTCCGGCCGCCTGGAGAATGGCTGCAGCAGGGCCTAGCTCGCCGCCATATGAGCACCGCCTCCAATACCTCAGTACCTCGGCCGTCGACCGCAGCTTGGCGCTGGGCACGACGCTTGTGAAGGCTGCGTCGTCGCGCTCGGGCGTCTCGCCGCGGCTGTCCCGGCGCCCAACCGGCCGCGTTGGGACGAACGACATCGGCGGTTTCAATCTAACATCATTTGGCGGTGTTATAACAATTTGTATGGTGCGTTTTGATTGGCTTTGCCCACGCAAAAGCACACCCATTGGTCCAAGGCGCGTTAGAAGGTCTTTGTGCGACAGATCGCACCCAGGTACGAGACGCTATTTAGTGTGCATGAGACGACACTTCGCACAGGAAGTACATGCGTCAGCTATGCCTCCACGGCGAGCACGCAAGATAGATAACCTACTGGCTGCATTGGTATACCAGGCCCGCGCTCAAGCCAATAGGTCGCGCTCGCCGATGCTTGGCTTAAACACTATTTCAGAGAGATTGCGTCATCGACCTCTAAATCGCACTTAACAAGATGCTTGCGTTTCTGTCGAATCTCGCAGTATAACTGGCAAATCGGAATCTTCACCATGAGCCGCTTCCGTGCAGTGGGCAAGGTCGCAGTCGATCGACGCCTCTTCTCGCACAAGGCGCTAAAGCTGCCCGAGTACCCCGTGGACACGACGTACCTCGTCGCGCACTACACGGCGCCGGCGCTCGCAGCGGGCTTTAGCGACAGGTGCCACTGCCAGCCGCACGCCATCGTCCGTCACTGACCACGCGACGACACTAGGGAGCAAACGCTGCGCCGCTGTGCCAAGCTGCTCGAAGAAGGCAAAATCGACGAGCTCGGGCTGCTGCTACAGCCATTCCGTGGCGCCGGTACGATGTAGGGCCCGACACTGCGCTGACATTTCGGATTGCATAGCATTGGTGAAAGACAAGCCGCCAACGACAGATCTGCTGGACGCTTTTTCGGGGCGGCACCTGGATCGCATCCGCAAACGCTTGAACCGGCTCCCGCGCCAAATCGCCAAGGCGTCGGCGAAGCGTGCGGCGGTTGTGATACCGCTCTGCACGATGGCGAGCGACGGCAGTCCGCACGTCATTTTCACGCTGCGGTCGTCCGAGATGCGCTTCCATCGCGGCGAAGTGTGCTTTCCAGGTGGCATGGTCGAGAACATTGACAACTGCATCGAAGACACGTGCTTGCGCGAGATGGAGGAAGAAGTCGGCGTCCGCGCCGCGCAGGTCGCTCTCAAAGATCGATCGACGTGCGCTCATGCAGCAGGATAGGTCAACGTGCTCGGTGTGTTGCGCTGCGACTGGTCGAACGTGGCATCGATTACGGGCGTGGCCGTGACGCCCGTGGTCGGCCACATTGCCGACTTCAACGCCGACCTACTGCGTATCAACGCGAGCGAGGTCGAGAGCCTCTTCACGGTGCCCCTCTCGCTGCTCGTCGAGGACAAGTACTGGATCCGACCCAAAAACGCCACGCCCGTCTTCACGGCTGGTCCGCACGTCATCTGGGGCCTCACGGCGTACATCCTCGACATATGCGTCCGCGAAGTGCTCCTCATCGACCAGCCGCTCAAGGAAATCAGCACGCCCGAGCCCGAGTCGCATTTTGTCTAACCACGTCATATACCCCCGCTACACACCTATGTGCGTTGCGACCAGTGGTGGATCGCTCCCGCATCGCACACTGCAGAGATCTCATGGTTGCTGCCGCACAGCGAAGATGTCATGGCCGCGAGTCGAGGTCGCATGCCCCTCGCTGGAGCACAGGTCGATGCGATCTTTCGTCTTCGGAAGAGTTCAGACCTGCCGGATATGAGAGCGTATCTGGCCGGACCGGTGAATCCAAAATTCCTCACTACGCGACTTGCAGCAATGGCGGCTTCGCTGTACGTGCCACCGTTCGAGCGCAACCAGCGCGAGGCCATGGCGACGACGCGCATGCACGAGAGCCTCGCGGAGCGCTGCGACTTGAGTCTGAGGTGACTGAGTACCGCTACCGCCTCCCGCGGGCAACGTCCAAGGGACACACATCGCGCGTGCCAGGGCTCATCTCGCTTCTCTTCCAGCGCGAGCGACGCGGTCATTTGAGCACGCCGGAGCGCCTCGCAACGAACGAGTCGTTTTTGCCGTTTGGCATCAACAGCCAATTCCACGAGGTCGACGAGCTCGGCGAGCGGCTCTACTGCGGCGAGTTTAGCGCCGACGGGCGGCAATTCCTCATTGCGGGCCAGAGCGAAGAGATCCATGTGTACGACAGTGCGACGTGGAAGCGCACGATGTCGCTGCCGGCGCGGAACCTGCGCTGGACGGTCACGGACGCGCATTTCACGCCCAGCGCCGACAGCATCGTGTACTCGTCCATCACGAGCTCGGTGCGCATGGTGTCGCCAACGAGCGAGACGACGTTCCGCTTGAGTCCATCGCGACAGGCGACTCCATCGATGCGCTATCTGCGGGACTTCGGCGTCTGGTGTCTCGGGCTCAATTCGTCCGGCACCGAGCTCCTCGCCGGCACGTCCAGCAACAGCGTCGTGCTCCACGACATGACGACCAACAAGACTCTGTGTCATCTCGTCGGGCACACGAACGATGTGAACGCAATTACGTTTCTCGACGACTACTCGAACGTCTTTCTCAGCGGGTCGGACGACCAGCTCATCAAGCTCTGGGACCGGCGCATGATGTCCGAGTCGAACGCGACGCCGCAAGGCGTCTTTCCAGGTACAGAGATTGATGCGATCCTACAGGATGACCCATGGAAGGCAATGCGTAGGCCACACGGACGGCATTACGCACTTGAGCGCGCGCAACGACGGCTACTACTTTATCTCGAACGCTAAGGACCAGAGCTGCAAGCTCTGGGACTTGCGCAAGTGTCTTCCGAACGACAAGGTGCAGGTTCTGCCGCGCCGGTACGAGTGGGACTACCGCTTCGAGATGTACCCGGGGTACGAAGACGACGCGGCCGAGACGCCGCACCCGCAAGACCAGTCGGTCATGACGTACCGCGGGCACATGGTGCAGCAGACGCTCATCCGGTGCTACTTTTCGCCGCTGCACTCGACCGCCCAGCGCTTCATCTACTCGGGCTCGGCCGACGGCGACGTGTACATTTACGACGTGCTCACGGGCGCGATCGTCGAGCAGCTCGAGCGCGATCAGTCGCCACGCGACCGCCGCCGAGGCCCGCCCGGCGTCACGCGCGACGTGCGATGGTAGGATCCATGCGCTTCTTCCGACGCACTCTCACGCGCGTAGGCACCCCCATCTGCCGATGCTCGTGTCGCCCGACTTTGACGGCAAGCTCTGCGTGTGGCAGAAGGACTTGCCCGCCCACTAGGTCAGACGACATGCACAAACGACGATGAAGAGCACAGGGACGGAGGCTAGAGAAGGTCCATGTTATCATCATCTGACTCGTCCGATAAGAACCATTCGCTGTGGGAGAGATTGCCGGCGGGGCGCGGTCGTCCTGGTGCGGGTACGATGATCGGAGACGCAGGGTCGTCGCTCTCCATGTCGACGTCAGTCATAAAGTCACTGTCCTCGATCTCACTTTCTTCGGGAATCGTAAAGGGCGGGAACATGTAGCTTCGCATTGGATTGAGCTTGGGCTTGGGGTTGTACAGGACGAGTGCGCCAAGGGCGGGGTCCCGCGGCGGCGCGGCTCGTCGCTGCCTACACATATCCGGTGAGCAGCCAGCCTCGTAGCAAGACAAGGAGCGTACAGGTAAGACGTGTAGAGGTCGAGGTGGACGCGTTGCGGGTGTAGGAACTGGCGCGGGCCCGTGGCTGCGACGTACGCAGCGGGGCTCGGCGGCCTCGCCTTGGCGTCGGCCTTGGTCGCGGGTGAGGACGACGATGTTCCCGATGAGATGCACATGTTCTCGAGGAACTCGACGAGGCTCTTCTTATGGGCTGGCATCTGCAGGTACGTCTCCTCGTCGTCGGCTTCGCGCCGGCGCCGGACTCCGCGACGCATCATAGCAGCAGGCAGTTTGCAGACTGGCCCGATGATGCGATTCAAACACATGCGTGCTCGAATGTGTTTAAAACACCCCACGTGGAACTCTCTGGAAGCAAGCGATCTTTTCTCGACGACCTGCGGCGTTAGTACGTGCCCCGAATCGGATCGTCGTCATTTGGCTCGGTCGTTAGGAGCAAATGCTCCGAGCGCACGGGCTTCCATGCTGTAGCCCAAGGACCTGCGCGTCGTCGTCATACGTGGCACGCCCAGGCGACAGTATGCACAACAAGAAATTGAGAATTTTGTTACCGGTAGTAGGTCGGGCAGTCTCTCTTTCGGATTGTGACGGTGGGGATGAAGACCCAAAACGTCTGCAGGAGCTACGTTGGTCCAGCTCACTCTTCGTGCCTGTCCTCCGTTGCATTTCAATGCAGTCGCTAGTCGTAAGCAGTTTGTGAAGCGCCGTATCTTGGGCGCAATCCCGCTGTATGTCGCAGCCCTTCTTCGTTTAGACTCTCAGAGCGTCGGCAGCATCTCGGTTGGGTGACCTCGGGCAGGCGGTTGCCGAGGCTGCATTTGAGTTCTGGTAGGAACCTCCTGGTGACACCAGCGTCTATATGTGCAGTATCTGATTGAACAAATAAAACCGCATCTACGTTCTCATTGGCCAAGTGCAGAAAAAGGCCCGCATTGATGCAAGATGTCGTTGAACCGAAATGACGCGACGCACGTACGTCCGCCCAAAGATGCAAAGCGGCGCGGCTTGAGAAGGATCAAGGGTACATAAATTTAACTTGAATTGATGTACCCTTGGAAGGATTGACGCGCCCATGCCGCCGCCCGCCGACGAGGATGAAGCAGCCAAGACAGCGCGCCTCGAGAAAGAGCAACTGGTTCGCGCCGCTGGGCTCAAGGGCACGAATGCCGTACTCGAAGAGGACGAGTGGCTCGGTAAGGCCATTCTCCTCAAGGACTGCGACATTGAGCAGCTCCTGGGCCACAACCTTAAAAGCTGCAAGACGCTCATATCTGTCGCTCCTCCTTTATATATATGAACGTGTTCCGCGTTATCTTCCTTAAAAAGAGTTCGCATACGTAGTGCTACGCCTGAATGCGTGGGAGTCAGTACCAGCACTTGGTCGTTGGGAGTGAGCTGCGCACGGAGAGATCCATCCCGTGGTGGACCCCACTCGCCGAGGATAGCTCGCGCGAGGTCGTACGCAGGCTCCTGTACTCGGACCACCCGACAGAGGAGTGCAAGCCGTCGGGTGTGTTTCAAACGAAACCGTCCGAGCCCGTATCCGAATAAATCCGGATACCGACCGAGCGCATAGAACCGACGCCGCAC